CCCCCCCCCCCCACCTGCGCGCGCGCCGCCGGCAGGACCCGCCCCGCGCGCCCCTAATTGGCTGCGGGGGGAGGGGCGGCTCATTAGTGATGCGGGCGCGCGCCGCGGCCCCGGAGTCGGCGGCGGCCGGAGCGGGGAGCGGAGCCCGCACCGCGGCCCCGGGAGCCGCATCCCCGGGAGCCCCGCAGCGCGGGCGAGAGGAGCGGGGAAAGCCCCCCAAAAACCCCGGCGATTCTCTGGCTGGAGTTCGGCTCCGCATCCCCGGCTCCGCATCCCCGGCTCCATCCCCGGCTCCACATCCCCGGCTCCATCCCCGGCCCCGTCCCCGGCGCTGCGGGCTCAGCATGGGCGGAGGAGCCCCGCGCCTGCACCGGCGGCTGCTGCTGCTGCTGGGGCTGTGCAGCTGGACGGCCGCGCTGCGAGGTAAGCGGGGCTCGTCCTGCCCTCCCCAGGGCGAGTGTGGGGCGAGGGGGTCCCACCGGTTGCTCCGGGGCGGGGGGAGCGCAGGAGGGTGGCGGAGCGGGGAGATGGCGGGGACCCGCCGCGAGAAACAGCCGCATCCCGGAGCCGGGAAAAACATCCGCTATCCCAGCGCCGGGAAAAACATCCGCTATCCAAGCGGCGGGGGAAGCACCCGCATCCCATCTCCCGGAGCATCACCCGCATCCCATCCCATCTCCCGGAGCATCACCCGCATCCCATCCCATCTCCCGGAGCATCACCCGCATCACATCTCCCGGAGCACCATCTGCATCCCATCTCCCGGAGCATCACCTGCATCCCATCTCCCGAAGCACCATCCGCATCCCATCCCATCTCCCGGAGCACCATCCGCATCCCATCCCATCTCCCGGAGCATCACCCCCATCCCATCTCCCGGAGCATCACCCCCATCCCATCCCATCTCCGGGAGCATCACCCGCACCGCCGTGGGGACCGGAGGCGGTGGAGTCGGGCTGCTCTGATGGGTCCCGGGCTGGTCCCGGGCTGTTCCTGCCGGTGGTCCCGGGTTGCTCCTGCCGGTGGTCCCGGGCTGGTCCCGGGTTGTTCCTGCCGGTGTCCCTGGCTGGTTCCGGCGGCGGTCCCGGTTCCGCTCCCCGCAGCGCAGCATCCCCAGCTGAGCTCCGGGCACGGAGCGCTCCGCGCTGTGCAGCAGCCGCAGCAGCCGCGGGCGTCCCGCGGGGCTCGGAGCCGGGGCTGGTTCTGCCTCTGGGCCCGGACCCCGCTCGGGCTGTCCCGGGACGGGCTCCGGGAGGCTCAGGGACCCCGCGGGCAGCGCGGGCTCATCCCCTGGGTGCCTCCGGCTGACGCGCACACGCTGCTGGATCCGTTTTCCGTGCGCGAGGCGGGCGCTGGAGATGCTCCGAGTCCTTTTTTTCTGTAATTTTATTTAACTTTTCCCCTCTAAATCACCGGAGGGCACTCACCCCTTCAGGGCACTCAGCCAGGGGATGTCACCAGCCCTCACCGCCCGGTGTCCCGCAGCCTCGGCGGGGCTGGCAGTGCGGGAATGAGCGGAGCGGTGTCTGCTGCGGGAGGCGGCTCCGTGCTCGGGCTCTGCGGTGCTCATCACGAACGCTCCTTCCTGCACACGGAGCAGTCGGACTTTGCGGCTCCTCACAGATTCCTCTCGCTGGCTCCGCACCCAGAGGAGCTCTGCCTTCACCCGTCGTGTCTGCGCTTCCATTTTCCTTTGGATGCAATTGATGGGCTCCGCTCTCTGTAGGGGGAACCATCCTCAGGTCACCACGGGCTCCTGCCAGCTCACCACAGGTGCTGGAGCCTCCCTGGCCACCTCACCCTCCGTGAATTACAGCTCCAGCAGAGGCAAAGCCAAGGGGCTTTTGTGTAACAGACAAAATGTGCCCTTTTGGGGTGTTTTGGGGGAGGGAAAAAACCCCAACCAGCCCACAGAAGCCCACCAGTTTATAGGGCAGTGAAATAAATGACGAGGGTAGAATGGAAAATAACATTTCCTATTTTTGATTATACTTTGATCGAGAAGCATCGGTGCCTGCACAGGGAAACCTGTGCCTGAATCAGTGATGGGGGTGCTCGGTGCCTTCTGTGCCGCCCACTTGGGAACCTCTGGCAGCTCCTGCTCCGGGGGAAGAGCGGTCAGGATCTGGAATTTCAGACCACGGGGCTGGAGGATGCTTCTGTTGCTGCCGAGTAACAAATTCCAGCTCTTTAATTAACACTGGCCTGGTTGGACGTTTCACATTCCGGGCTGGAGCAGAGTTTTGGGCACGGTTGTGAGGCAGAGCCGTGATTTGGGGGCAGGTTGGTGGCGGTGCTGCCTGGTGCTCACTGGCAGCTCCGGCTGAAGCAGTTAAAGCTCAGCTACAAGCTGTGAGGTTTTAGTTTATGAAGTTGTCTCAAATCTGCCTCAGAGACAGATTGTGCTCAGGTTTCTGTTCTGAGCGGGGATTAAAGACAAATGGAATGGTTGTAGAAACCCCTGGCATGGCATTTGAAATCTGTTGGAATGAAAATACATGGATAGCTCTGGGCTTTTGTTTTTACAGGAAAAAATTGCCCAGACAGACTGGTAATTGGAGCAGAGAGTCACTAATATTTATTATCTCACTGATGCCTCCGAACTAATTTTGAGTCGCGCATCTCTGAATAAAGATGTCTGTGAACATGAGCATTAATTCTGTGCCGCATCCTGATCCCGCAGCCTGGAGCTGTGTCTCACACGGTGCTCAGAGATCCGAGTGGATTTGGTGCTAAATGAGCATTGTTTGGGGATTTTCCTGCTCTCCCTGGCTTTGTGATGATGAAATGAAGCCACCCAAAGGAACGGGGTGGCTCTGTGGGCAGGGAGCTGTGGGAGCCGAGATCTCTGAGCGTTCCTGTCTTTTTCTGGAGTTTTGAATTGTTTTTTTTTTGCTCTGCTCACCGGAGAGCCGCGTGTTTACAGCGGCGCTGCCCAGCAGGACAAACCAGAGGAAAAACGCTGGGTTCGGGTAAAAACAGCAACTTCTGCTGGTGTGGAAATGAGCCTGGAGGTGCGAGCTGTGCCCAGGTTGGCCCTTTTGTCTTGCATTTAATGATGTAAATTAGATGTAAATGACTTCATCCTAGCGGGGCTGGGATTCCATTGTGCGCCTGAGGATTCTGCAGTGCAGGAGCCTCCAGGGCCGCTTTGGGAGCTCCTGGTGCTTGGCTGTGCCCGTTTGTGCTCCAGGGGCAGGTCTGGGGTGCTTGGGGACGTTCAGCAGCTCCGGGTGGGACATTTCTGCTGTGCCAGCCCCAGCTGGGGTGTCCCTGTATTGATTTATCTGCTCTCCAAGTGTCATCAATAACCCAGCCCTGGGCTTGGCACAAAGGGGTGAGCACCAACCCGGGCAGGACCTGGCTGCTGTTGGAACCTCTCCCGGCTCCGCTCGAGCCGCTCCACGCAGACAATTCTGTATTTTGATCTCGTTAGGACCAAGTGTTCATTAAAATAACAACCACACGCTCTGCTCCGAGCCGTCCTCCCACTCCCCTGCAGTGCCTCGTGTGGGCTCCTCCGTCAATATTTACATTATTTAATTTGGAACTTCCTGGGAAATGAATAAACTCCCTTCCCTTGGGGGTTTGGGAGCTGCTCGGGGTCCGTTTCCCGTCTCTCCAGGATGACCCAGCTTTGCTGTCCTTTATAGGTAGGGACACCCAGGGTTGTTTTCTCCAAACCGTGGGGAATTTGGGACTCTGAAGAGCAGGATGGCAAATCTGGCTGTGCAGGAGTGCGTGGGTTGGAATTATTTTGTTCATTGGGTTTTTTCAGTCCTGTATTTTTTCCTGCATTTATTGCCACGTTTGTGCTGTAACAGAATCTGGGAGAGAATTCAGAGAGAAAGTGGCAAAGCCTGACTTTGGACAGGCACACGCTCCAGTTTGGTCTGGCTTAGAGAGGTTTGGTCTGGCTTAGAGCGGTTTGGTCTGGTTTACAGCAGTTTGGTCTGGTTTAGAGCAGTTTGGTCTGGTTTAGAGTGGTTTGGTCTGGTTTACAGCGGTTTGGTCTGGTTTAGAGCGGTTTGGTCTGGTTTAGAGCGGTTTGGTCTGGCTTAGAGCGGTTTGGTCTGGCTTAGAGCGGTTTGGTCTGGTTTGGAGCGGTTTGGTCTGGTTTGGAGCGGTTTGGTCTGGCTTAGAGCGGTTTGGTCTGGTTTAGAGCGGTTTGGTCTGGTTTAGAGCGGTTTGGTCTGGTTTAGAGCGGTTTGGTCTGGTTTAGAGCGGTTTGATCTGGTTTAGAGCGGTTTGGTCTGGTTTAGAGCGGTTTGGTCTGGTTTAGAGCGGTTTGGTCTGGTTTAGAGCGGTTTGGTCTGGTTTGGAGCGGTTTGGTCTGGTTTGGAGCGGTTTGGTCTGGTTTGGAGCGGTTTGGTCTGGTTTACAGCGGTTTGGTCTGGTTTAGAGCGGTTTGGTCTGGCTTAGAGCACTGATCCTTGTGCTTTAACGTGCCGGGGGTGTTCCAAACACAAATACCGTGATTTATGCTAAGATGGAAAATCACCGAGCAAAGGAGGCCTCGGGGCCGCTGGCTGTGGCTTTTCTGTATTTTTAGCCCTGCTTCTGGTTGAAGGTGGAGTCTGAGGGAAGGAGCAGAATGTTGACACCAGAGGCTGCTGTTTCAGAGGCTTTGGGAAGCTGCTGGAGCAGATGGCCACATTCATCTGCCTCAAACACAAAAATGCTTCATTTTCTATTTATATTTTTGAATGGTCTGGCCGTGCCACGTGGCCGTGGCTCAGGGCAGGAGCGCTGGGGAGGGGGGAGCTTTTGTGGCAATAAATCACATTTTGGAGCAGGAAAGGCTTCAGGGCGGCCTGAGCACCCAGAATTTACCTGCGCAAAGGTGAGGGAGGTTTCCATCACCTTCCCCTCCCCACCCACCCTTTGTGGCCTTTTGAACCACACAGAAATGTTCTTAATAAAGAGATTTTATTAAGTCCAGCCCAATATTGTTTAGTGCCAAATACTTCTAGGAATTTCCACGCAGGGAATTACACTTAATTGCACTTCCACATCATCATCCCTAATGATTTTATTGATTTTATTGATTTTATTTTTTATTTTATTTTTTATATATTTTATTTTATTATTATATTTTATTTTATTATTATATTTTATTTTTATATTTTATATTTTTATTTTATTTTTTATATTTTATTTTATATTTTATTTTATTTTATTTTGCTGGCTGCTGTGGATATTTTTGACTTTTTTTTTCTTTCCGGTTTTCTTTTTTACATTTAAAAAAGACAGAACTCAGTGAAGCCCCGATGCCCCAAGTCCATTCAGCTCCATCAGGTTCACAACCCTTCTCTTGGGAATCTCATCATGGCTGGAATTTCTCCACGGGGGAATTTTCCTGGGGGATTGAGGAGGCAGGAGGGGCAGCAGGGAACTCCAATAAAATGCGGAATATTTTCAGG